TGGAGAAATGAGAACCCAGTTCACTGCTGGTGGGAATATAAAATGGCAGATACTTTGGAGAACAGTTTGACATTTCCTCAGTAGGTTAAATGTAGAGTTGCCCTGTAACCCAGTAATTCCACCTGTAGGTATATACCCGAGAGAAATGAAAACATGATGTCGGTACAAAAACTTCTACATAAGTGTTCATAAGCATTCGTCACAATCACCAAAAGATTGAGACAACCCAATGTGTACCTTCTGACTGATGAATGAATAATGTGGTATATCCACATAATAAAATATTATTTGGCCATAAAGAAAGAATGAAGTACTGATTTATGCTGTAACATAGATGAACCTTGAAAATGTTCTGCTAAAATGAAGCCAGTCTCAAAAGACCAAAAATTAGTCTGTTTATATATGAAGTGTTCAGAATAAGCAAGTCTGTAGTGACAGAGAGCAGATAAGTGGTTGCTTAGGGCAAGAGGCCTTTGGGGAAAATGAGAAGTGACTGCCTAAGTGTTTTTTGGGGGTGCTAAAATGTTCTGAAATGTTAGTAATGGTGGCTGTATACTTTGTAAATGTATTAAAAGCCATTCAATAATACACTTTAAATGAATAGGTTATATAGTATGTGAATTATATCTCAAGAAAGCTATTATAAAGAATAACATTAAGAAATTAATATTTGAAACTATCCCATTTACAATTGCACCAAGAACCATAAAATACCTAGGAATAAACCTAACCAAAGATGTAAAAGATCATTATGATGAAAATTATAGAAAGGTTATGAAGGAAATAGAAGACACAAAGAAATTGAAAAACATTCCATGCTCATGGATTGGAAGAATAAATATTATTAAAATGTCAATACTACCCAAAGCTATCTATACATTCAATGCAATCCCAATCAGAATTGCACCGGCATTCTTCTCAAAGCTAGAACAAACAATCCTAAAATTTGTATGGAACCACAAAAGACCACAAATAGCCAAAGTTATATTGAAGAAGAAAACCAAAGTGGGAGGCATCACAATCCCAGACTTTAGCCTGTATTACAAAGCTTTAATCATCAAGACAGTATGGTACTGGCATAAAAACAGACACATAGACCAATGGAATAGAATAGAGACCCCAGAATTGGACCCACAAATGTATGGCCAACTGATCTTTGACAAAACAGGAAAAGAATATCCAAGGGAAGAAAGTCTCTTTAGCAAATGGTGCTGGGAGAACTGGACAGCAACATGCAGAAGAATGAAACTAGACCACTTCCTTATACCATACACAAAAGTAAACTCAAAATGGATGAAAAGCCTAAATGTGAGACAGGAAACCATCAAAACCTTAGAGGAGAAAGCAGTCAACAACCTCTTTGACCTCAGCCACAGCAATTTCTTACTCAACACATCTCCAAAGGCAAGGGAATTAAAAGCAAAAAGGAACTATTGGGACCTCATCAAGATAAAACGTTTCTGCACTTCAAAGGAAACAATCAACAAAATTAAAAGGCAAGCAACAGAATGGGAAAAGATATTTGCAAATGACATATCGGATAAAGGGTTAGTATCCAAAATTTATAAAGAACTTACTAAACTCAACACCGGAAAAGCAAATAATCCTGTGAAGAAATGGGCAGAAGACATGAATAGACACTTTTCCAGAAAAGACATCCAGATGGCCAACAGACACATGAAACGATGCTCAACATCACTCATCATCATGGAAATACAAATCAAAACCACAGAGATACCACCTCACACTGGTCAGAGTGGCTAAAATGAACAAATCAGGAAACCTCAGTTGCTGGCGAGGATGTGGAGAAACGGGAACCCTCTTGCACTGTTGGTGGGAATGCAAACTGGTGCAGCTGCTCTGGAAAACAGTGTGGAGATTCCTCAAAAAATTAAAAATAGAACTATCCTATGACCCAACAATAGCAGTACTACCCAAGGGATACAGGAATGTTAATGCATCGGGGCACATGTACCCTAATGTTTAAAGCAGCACTTTAAACAGTAGCCAAATCATGGAGAGAACCTAAATGTCCATCAACTGATGAATGGATAAAGAAGATGGGGTTTATATACACAATGGAATACTACTTGGCAATGAGAAAGAATGAAATCATGCCATTTGCAATAACATGGGTGGGACCGGAAGGTATTATGGTGACTGAAATAAGTCAGTCAGAGGACAGATATCATATGTTTTCACTCATATGTGGAACTTGAGAAACTTCCCATGGGGGAAGGCAAGGGGAAAAATAGATACAAACAGAGAGAGAGGAAGGCAAACCACAAGAAATCTTAAATACAGAGAACAAACTGAAGGTGATGGGGGTGAGAGAGAGGAAAAATGGGTGATGGGCATTGAGCAGGGCACTCCACAGTTGGGATGTGCACTGGGTGTTGTATGTAAGCCAGTTTAACAATAAATCATATTTAAAAATTACATTTTGAGAACTACATATTCAAATAAACTTGACCATTATCCAAGACAACTTTTGGATTCAGATAAGGAAGGTTCCACATCTCCTAGCAAGACATTCTGTCCCGTCAAGGAGGGAACCTGGGCTTTATAATTTTACAGTCACTGATGTAAATCTGTTTTAAAATGATCAGTTTGCATAGGTTCTTTGAATCTCAGCTTCTTCACCTACAAAAGAGGTAATGACAGTTCTTAGTTCTCGGGTTTCTCTGAAAACTAAATGAGTTTTTTCATCTAAAGAGCTCAGTGCGGTGCTAAAAGTGATAGCCATTGTTAGAGGTCTTGAGGTCATGATCATTGCAGGCTTGTGATAAGGATTTAAAGACAGGCCTGCTGGAAACCCCTGCACTGCCTTTGCATGTACCTGGAGCACTGTCCTTGTCTCACAGCTAATTAGTTGCTTCATGACCTCATGAGGAGACTCCATGCAGGCTGCTTCTCTGGTGGGTGTTTCCTGACCACATCCAGCTACTGAGTTACCAGATTTGACTGTTTCTGTTCTTGCAAATCTGTCATCTCACTTCTGGCAGCACTGATTTGTATATCTTACCCTCTCTCTACTACCTGAGAGTAGCTGCTACTGCATCACTCCCAAGTTCCCCAGCTAAGTGCTTAGTGCTTGATAGGTACTCAGTTAATACTATTTGAAAGAATAAATAGGGAAGGACAGGACCTAGATACATTGAACATGGTCACATGCTTCCATTTGACCCCTAAACATTTGTTTACTAGTAAAGAGAATAATCTGAACTATTTTTTGTTGGGAACTTTATTTAGTGATATGGCATCACTAGTTTATCTAGTATATTTGTTGTTTTTTTTTTAATTTTTTTTTTTTTAACGTTTATTATTTTTGGGACAGAGAGAGACAGAGCATGAACGGGGGAGGGGCAGAGAGAGAGGGAGACACAGAATTGGAAACAGGCTCCAGGCTCCGAGCCATCAGCCCAGAGCCTGACGCGGGGCTCGAACTCACGGAGCGCGAGATCGTGACCTGGCTGAAGTCGGACGCTTAACCGACTGCGCCACCCAGGCGCCCCTATCTAGTATATTTGTAATGATAGTATAGTCCTGATATTAAAATAAAAAGGCAGACATCAAGAAATCTACATTTAATTATAAATTTAATTTTATTTGTTACAAGTCAATGGAGAATAAATGATTGCTAATGGGTAGCAGATTGAGAAGGATTGCACCTATTTAATATTTCTTCATTTTGAAAGTCTGGTTTTTGAAGGAGCTCTGTTTTATAAACTGCCATGGAAAGTTGAAACTTTGGATTTATTAATGTACTCTATGAGCTGCTAAGAAAAACTGAAAATTTAGATTTCCATAGAAATCCCATTGTCATCTTTAATGATGGCATTGGTATAAATGCATATACCAAATATTTGTAGTCAGTGATCTAGTATATGTTGGCACTTGCCCTGGGCCATGTTCTTGCCAAAATTTAGTAAACCTATTTAGAAAAATTCCCCTTATCACTGTGCCAGTTTCTCTAGAAACCAAAAGCTTTCATCATAACTAACCTCCCTGCTTAATCTGCAAAAGAACAAAGCTAAAGTTATTGAAATGTGATAAATTATGATAGTAATCTATCTAAACTGTATGAAGCCATCATTGACTTTATGTGTATTATTACCTTGAGAATTTGGTGCTTTGTGCTAACCTTACCTAGAAACAGAGCCATGGGTAAAATCATCTCCAAAGTGTCTTTTATTTTGTCCTTGTCTATAATCTTTTAAAAAGTAGAACCTTTCATTAAGACCAGAGAACATAAAACAATTTCAGTTCTTTCTTCAATTTATGACACCTTTCCTCCAATCATTTCAAAATATTTATGCAGAATTCAGGAGCCCATTTCTGTAGATAGCACTTAAGTGAATTTGGAAGGTGGCATTTCAGTAAGTATAGTAGAGAGAAACTTTTGAGTTGGAACTGTGTCATAATTTATAACTGGATAGCTTTGCAAGTTTCCAAAGAAGAATGATCACCACTTATTGGCAACCCAAATGCATTTCTTGTTTGTTTCCTGTAACTGGTTATAGCCTGTGAGCTACTCCTCTCCCTTTCTCCATGAGCTCCAAAATAGCTTTATTAATAGGAACATACGCTGTTTATGTTCTTAAAAAAAATCAGGGTGGTCTTAGATGTCTGTCTTCCATTCTGGCATTTCCCTTTGTACAACCCTTTTGAATTTTCTGTTTAAAAACTGGCATTCCAATAGCTTTTCTTTGGCCTAATGCCTGGGTCACATATTGCAGCAGCAAATTAGGAATGTTAAGACGTCCCCAAAAGAAAAATGTTTGTTATGAAAGTAGAGCTGATGTGACACATAGAATTAGAGCTTCTTAACTTATCTAAATGACAGTTAGTGATCATTTTCTTTCATTCTTATTTTAAAGGAGGGGGAATGGGGGAGAATGAAAGAAATGCCTAGAGGCTGAGATTGGATTTGGTTCACCAAACTGTTAAATGTCAAATGTACTATCTGATAATACATACATCCTTTTATCTCTTTTTAGGAGCTAATTTTGTTACTAGAAAAATTAGCCGGTCAGTGGCTAAGATTTACCTTGGACAACTGGAATGTTTCAGCTTGGGAAATCTGGATGCCAAAAGAGATTGGGGCCATGCCAAGGACTATGTAGAGGTAGGAACTGACTCATTATGTTCTTAAAAATACCTGTATCAGTTGGTGTTTTCAATGCCAGGCCTCTGGTGGAAAAGCATGACCTAGAAGAAGTGGTAGCATATAAAATTTTGCTAATGCAGATATATTTACACTCACACTGCTTTCATTTTAAGGCTCCATGGTTCCATTTTACATGTAGATGACACTGAATGTTACTTGAATATGGAAACCTTTCACAATTGTTCTTTCCATCGTTAAAATGAAGGTGTCAGTCAGTTGTTCCGAGGATGGTTGAAAAATGTTTGAGTAGTATTCTTTCCTTCCTAAAGCCTCTATCTCCTCACTTTGTGCACCTTCTCCCTCCTGCCTGCTCAAAAGTCATATAACTGTGAAAAAAATTTAGGTATACAGATACAGTTCTCAGAGCTTCAGGAAATATTCCCTAATTTCAGTTTGTATAATCTAAGACTTTCAGGTTTACATTATTCTACTAAAGTACTCTAAGAGTGAAATTCTTGCGGAGGTTTTGGTTTCTGCTGCTTGAGTGTCTGGTTATTACCCTACATACTTCTCAATGTGTGACTTTACACACCAATGAATTTTGTTCATTAAATAGAGATAGAGTTGTTAATAATGATAATATTGCATAATACTGGATATAGTTGAAGGGAAATTCAAGTTCTCACTCTTGGGATTTATCTGCACATTAAGTTCTGGTCTGGATTAGATGTGTTACATGTGTAAGTAGTGTGACTTTTCTTTAAGCAAATGGTTATATTTTACCTTTCCCTGATCAGTATCCTTTTAAATATACATGGCTCTTTCTGTGGCCAGACATGAAGGAGCATGTTGGTGACATTGTCTTTTTCCCTGGAGTCTGTTTGTCCTTGTTTAGGTGCTTACAGATTTCCTGTGCTCAGGAGACTATTTCTGTCCTTAATGATTCCTCTCTGGGAAACCGGATCTGGCTTCCTTGTTCATTGATGCGATTCAAAAAGAAACTTGAACGTTTACGAAAGAAAGCAAACAAGTAGTTTACTTGCTAACACAGAGGTTAGTTTCAGGTGTTATTGTTTTTGTTCATAACAATTAAAAATGGGTACTTGTACACCTAATACTGATTTATATTATGGATGAAGAACAGCTTTGATTTTAAATTTTGAACAGCATAACATTTAGATAATTTCGGTATATTCTTTGAAGCTGTCATTACAAAGAGGCATTTTATGACAATAGACATTAGATATATTCTAAGAACATTTCATTAAAAAATATATAAGCCCACCTTTTCAGAAATTTAAGAAGAGAAAGGAGATGTTAATAATAGAAGCTGAAACTCTGTTTTGTCTAATCTATATGGCCTTACCTACTTAAAAATATGAGGCAAGGTTCATAAAAATGAATTTTTTTTCAAAACTATCATTCTAGCTTTCTGCATATGCTTAGAGCAGTAGATAGCTGTATAGTTATCTTTCTTTATCCAAATTCTTGTTCTCCAAATTCAGAACCAAATAGATCAAATTTCATTCTATTTAACTTTATTTTTTTGCACCGGGGTAAAATGAAGTTTGTACTAGAACTCAGAAATAGATTTTGATAGAGAAACAGTATACCAAATCTTAATAATGCTTATTACCATTTATGTTTATTTTTCTCTTTGTATTTCTATATTTTCCATATATTTGAAATGAATATAAACTTTTCAATCAGAAAAAAATTTAATGACATTTTAAAAATAAGCCAAAAATTGTTTTAGAAACTCATTACACTGTTAAATACATAAGTAATGAGTAAGTCTTTTGTGAGCTCAGTGGATCTGGAAGAAGGACCCTGGTATCATCTCATTCCCCAAATGCCAAGGCTAGCACTGGTCCTGGGTGTAGCTCAAACCTTGAAACAAAGGTGCCACATTTGTATTCATTTAAAATAAAAGCATTTTATAAACATTTTGGCTCAAAGACTTCAAAAAGGTCTTCCCAAATACCATTTTGAAGATTCCTTGACAAAATGGTATCAGTACAGTGAACCAAAGCATCCACGCAAGAGTAAAATGTTCTGGCCTTTCAGGAAAAATGTAAAATTTTCAGATTTTATGGAGAAACAGACATACAAAATTAAGTCATTGTCATTGTCATTCAAGACCTGGCTTGTTCCACAGTACAAGTAGGTTTTGCTGAACCCTGGGGTTCAGACAGTAACACATGTTGATGATGCAAGAAGTATTATATAGTTCTCATTTATGGGTCCTGAAGGATGTCTCAATTTAAATTTCTTGATTTCTGAAAAAGTGCCATTATTAAGTAAGAATACGTAGTTTGCTATTTCCATTTTAAGAAGTGTTACCATCTCTTGCATTTCTAAACGTGTTAAAATGAGGTTACTTCACAGACTTAAGACTAAAGGCAGATGTTGCTAAAATTAAAATCAACAAGCATAAGAATGAAAAAAGAGAAACATTGTTTGTTTAAAGTGCATCTGCATCCTGGCGCTATAATCAGCTTTAGAATAAAGAAGCCTTGGCAAGTACGATCAAACAAGTTATAATAGCATCTTATTTACACACGTCTTAATTATATAATCTTTCTCATTTATACACAAACATATTGTACTGGTGAATCTTTAGATTAAGTGACTTACACTTTTTTACTTATGGATAAACTTCCATGATGAAGAGTAGAGAGCGTTTGACAAACAGAGTATAGGGATCCTAGCTGTGTCAGTGATTTGTTCTTCAGTCTTAGGGCTTTATATCTCAGCTTACCCATCTGTGAAAAGGGCCTAATAACAACCCTGTAAAAAATTAGCATTAATGTGCTGTACATTCGTGATTAGAATCTACCTCTGTCTTGTAAACATTTTTGCAAGAATTTATGCAAAGCCACTTCCTGTTGCTGATTCAGGTTCATTAACATCCATTTATAGTCTTGTTTCCTAGATCAAAATGATTTAAAACTTAAACTGAGTGGGTAAGGGGTATTTCAACTTGAAGTGAAGAATATAAAAACTATATTAAATCATGCTGTACTTCAGAATAAATAAGTTATGTGCTTACATCTTTTCCAATAATATTTATTATAAACATTTTAAACGTACAGGATTGTTGAATGAATTTTACCATTAACAGCCATATACCCACCACCCAGATCCTATAATTAACATCTACAATTGTTGCAACTTGAGAAAAAAAAAAGTATTACTGTTTAAAAACTACTCTGTAGTGCTGATGGCTCAGAGCTCTAAATACTCAGTTTACACAAATGTGGGTTGTCGAGAATTTGTACTTCTTACAGGATATAGTCAGTTGATAATTCAAACTTTTGAAATATTTTTATCTTCTTAAATAATTATGTGACACCATCACACTCTTTTCATGCCTGCCTCCGTCCACATACATTGAACCATTGTATTTATGAGAACACATTCAAACAAATTCAAGATGTCAACACAGTACCAGTGGTGCCTGAAAGGAGAGGATCTCTAACTTCTCTAGGAGGCACTGTTCTTTCCACACACCTTCTGTTGACTACCTACCATGGTCATGGTTCTAGTTGCTGTAGATGACAGTCTTGTAAACTTTGTCTAAAGCCACATAAGCCTACACAATGCTAAATTTCACAAATCTAAGCAGATTTCTTTATCATGGACTGGCTTCTCAAAACTTAGAATATATGAATGCACTACTGCCTATTAAGATTAATAAAGTGTTTCTCAAACTTATTTAACTTTGCTACCCTTTTAATTATATATATATATA